GTTCAGGTTGGCCTCAAACTCACAGTGATCCCCCTGCCTCAGCCTCCCGAGTGCTGAGGTCACAGGCATGCGCCACCGTGTTCAGCTGGGAGACAGCATTTTTTAACAAAACCCTTTTGGATAAAAACCCATGTAATAAGGACTAATGTCCATTGAACCCTTTGTGTGCTCCAGGCCCTGTTCTAGAAACCACACAACCATTTTATAAGGTATGTAGTACTACTATCACCATTTTACAAATGAGGAAACTGAGGCATAGAATATTTAGTAAGTGGCAGGGCAGAGTCTTGAATCTAAGGCATTTGATTCAAGAAGACATTCTCTCTCTCTCTCTCTCTCTCTCTCTCTCTCTCTCTCTCTCTCTCTCAGTACTGGGGCTCAAACTTGCAATCCTCCTGCCTCAGCCTCTTAAGTGCTGGGATTACAGGTGTGCACCACCACAACCAGCTCTTTAGGTGCCTTTTCTGAGGGAAATTTCTGAGGGAAATATCTGAAAACCTTGCACTACAGAAAGGAGAGTATTAGTCTATAAATTATTCTATAAATTTATCTGATTGAGACAGATCTACCCTTGATTTTATTGAGATACTTGAGTGAAGAAGAGAAAATGGGCTCTTTATACATAGAGCTCTGAATGCCTTCGTTGGAAGAACAGCTGTGTTTATGCTGGTGATAACTAGAACTTTGCACTCAACTTCCTAAGAAAAGTCACATGGACTTCATCATCGGGAAAAATTTTTTGAAACTTAGAAAAGATTGATTCCTTCAGAGCTTTCTTTCTTTCTTTCTTTCTTTCTTTCTTTCTTTCTTTCTTTCTTTCTTTCTTTCTTTCTTGGTACCCACAATCGAAGTCAGGGCCTCATGCAATCACTTCATTCCAGGCACAGAAACAGTTAATTAAAATGTGTTTCAAAATTTTTAAATTATTTATTGTGTTTCTGTTCATGTTGTAACTGATAACAAAAGCTTTTTACATTTAAAACTTTTTTTGGGTACCAGGGATCAAAGTCAGGACCTTGTGCTTGCCAGGCAGGTACTGTGCTGCTGAGCTAAGTCCCAGCCCCCATTTAAGACATTTTTAAAAACCACAGACACTTGGCAAGGTGGTACACACTGATCCCAGCACTGTGGCAGGCAGAGGCAAGAGACTCGAAAATTTCAGCCCTGCCTGAGCAATTTAGCCACTCACTGAGTCCGTCTGAAAATGGAAAAGGCTGGGGCTATAGCTCAGTGCTAAGGCCCTGGGTTCAATCCTTACTACGTAAACAACCAAGCAAACAAGCAAACAAACACTGCACAGGCAAGCCATGATGCATCTGAAGCTAGAGATTCTGATTCCCTGGCTGCTGCTGTCCTGCCCCTGGCCCTGTTGAACTTAGTGACATTTGCAGTGGTTCCTGCTAGGACTCCAGGAAGACAGTAAAGGGGATTTAGAGCTCTTTTTAATATTTTAAGGAAATCAATAAAGTCATGGATCTATAAGTTTACCCAAATTAGTTAAATACCAAGTTCTTTGCTTTTATTGGACTATATCAGCACTGTGTACATCACAATGGTAATTCACTGAGCTCCCCAGAAAGGGACTATTCATTCATTTTTCTCAGAACAGGGCTCAGAACATGATAGGGCATGGTGGGAAGGAAACAGTTATTCAGTGGAGTGACTATGTGTCAACAGAAGTTCTGATTGGCTGCCAGTGACATCATAGAGATTCCTGGGATTCATTAGGTACACCAGATGGTTACCAGAATGTTATGACACGCTAGACTTGTAACAACCCACATTTTATCAGGCTAACACATAATTTACATCATCGGTAAATACAGTGACTTCATTTCTAGGTAGCAAAAATAGCAGTAAACAATGTTAAAGTGTCTATACATAATTTTCATTCTCACTTATAGGTATCAACATTTTTGCTTATTAGCATCAAAACCACAGAACTGATGTGTATAGTTTTTGTATTATTAGACTTTTGGCAATTATTTTTATCAAGAAAGAGAATTTTCAAAAAAGACAATGAAAGAATTTTCACCAAGTGTGGGAAAAGGGGTCTTTGGTGATAAGAGGGGGTAAAAATCTTTGTGTATCAGAAAAAAATGTATCACTTATCTATCAAGTATGTGATACACCACACCCTTCCTACCCATCCCATTCCTCCACCATAACTGCAAACCCGAACCCAGCTTTATCCAGGTTCCCTAGAACTTGTGACTACAAATACAATGAAGTCTTGTTTCCTTTGGTCATTAATTAATTAATCTAAGTAGGTCAAGGGGTCCTAAAAGCCAGAAAAAGGTTACTTATTGATTGGTAAGGTAGGATTCTGGTGCTCCTGTGTCCTGTTACCAAATACCTTCAAAATTCCTTTCTCAACCATCTAATGAACTTTGCATTTCTCTTTAAGTCCCTCCATACTGAAAAATGAGTTTTAACTTCCAAACCCGAAAGTGGCATCAACTTGAATTTGGGGGAAAGGAGTCTGTTTTGGGAATAGGATGTGGGTTTATTTTCTTCCTTATCTTTGTCTATATTTTACAAAGTTTCCAAATACTGAAATATGTAAATATTGCTTTTATACTTAGAGATCAAAACAAGAGAACTTATTTTTTAAATAATAGAATATAAGAGATGAAAATAAGCAAATATCTTCATAGTAGTTTGGGGGAATAGTTGAAATCCAAACTTAGGAGTCAAATGTTGTCATTCCTCTTAAGAGTAAAGTTATGTTTGCAAAGTGCTTTTGTGTACATTTTCCAGTGTATATTACTACTTATGAGACACATAGGTAAGTTACTACCTAAATGCCTGCTTCCAGGATATATAAAAGATAGGGGAATACCAGAGCATATATACATTTCCCCTGTGAACTCATTCATTTATTCAGTAAATATTGAACATCCATCCTGTTCCCAATAAAGACTAGATTCTTTGAATATAACCAAACAGATAGACATGATCCCAGCCCTCTGAGCTTACCTTCTACAGGGAGAAGATGGGGGAAAGTAAACAGGCAAAATAATTGAAACATTTTAGCACATTTAATAAAGGAGTCAGTTCCCTGCCTCCAAAGACCCCTTGAGTAAGTTGCTTACGGATCCTTACATCTAGAAGAACACACACCGTGTAGAATCGTGAGGTGGCCCAGTTAGAGGGTGTTGGAGGAAGCTGGCTGGGATTGGGGTGGGTCTGCTGTGAAATGGACGCTCTCAGAAAGTGACTGTGATCCTGCACTCACTAGGTGAGAGAGGAAAGCTTGGTATCCAGTCACACAATGGCCTTGCTTCTGTCTGTGCTCGAACAAAATTATAAAGCTGCCCAGCTTTGTCTCGTTTTGTCAGAGTTTCAGAGTTTGGTATTCAGTGAGCGTGTTTAAGTCCACGAGCAAAATAACATGACCTCGTCACAAATGCCAGGTCGGCTTCTGGAGATCAACAGCTCCTCTCTGTTCCTTTCTCTGGGAGATCGATAAAGGACCAGACAACAAATAGTCTACGTAGAAAGAGGGGTGTGTGTGTCTGTACGTGTGTGTGTGCTGATATTGAGGGATATGGTCCTGGTGACTTTTAAGTTCTCACTCATCCAGCCATTGGCACTGACAACATATGCACGCTCAGTGACCTAGCATTTGGCCAAAAAATAGTTCTAACTGTCATCTATTTATAGCTAAGATTCTCAGACACTCCAAATAGACAGAGGCCGATGCCAGTTGTGAATATAGATGATGACAACTATGATACTGGCAGAAGTTACAATAATGGCTTTGAAAACAGAAATATAATAAAATATGTGTTATTTTTTCAATATTTTCACCCTACCCACATTCACCACTCTCTCAGTTTTCTATTTTTATTAGTAAAACTATATTAGGAAGATGTTCGTGCACTGCGGATGCTGTCTTGGGTGCCATGACAACCACTTGGTCTTCATCAAGCATTTTATGTTAAGATCAGACATTTAGAAAGTTTTCCATGATGCTTAAAATGCTGGCTATATTTCACTAAGAACTTGAGATGTGGGGTTCTTACTCAGAGACCCACAAAGTTAAACTTCAGTGAGAGAATGGGAGATCAAGGATGGATTGTGGAGAAAAGCTTCATTTCTTTCACCAGAACGGGAGGCTGGGAGACCTCTATGGTTGGCAGGCAGAGTAGCCATTGCCACCACATAAATATGGGGGCCACTGGAAATGTAACAATTCTCTGGTTTCCTGGCCCTGCTACAAAGTGTGTGATCAAGAGCTATGGATTCAGTTTCCCTGTGTGGACAATGGAGAAGTTGGTCTAGAGATCCCAAAGGGCCATGCAGCTTTATGTTCCTGTGGTTGGGACTTGCCCTTCATGAGGTCATGTTCTGAAGAGACTTTGCCTTGTATTTCCTCATAGATAGAGCGGCGTGGTCAAGAGTTCATGCTTAGAATTAAACCTGGATCCAAACCCTGGCTCTGCCCACTTGTGGCTGTGTGTCCTTGTGAAATGGATCTTATAATAGTAACCACTTCATAGGGTTGTAGGGAGGATTGATATGAATTTAATTTTAGTAACTACCTCATGTGTTATATTGATGGCATGAGACAATACACATAAAACCTCTTTAGTACTGTGCTTGGCCCATCAAAAGCAATCAATACATACCAGCAAATATCAAAGACAACCTTAAGAGGCATCTTTCCCTTTGAAGTAAATACAATACACAACCAGGTAACATTATAGAACTAAAAACAAACTTTATGGTAAAATTTTAAAACCTTAAAATACAATGTATTTGCAAAATAAGAGCACCTAATGCACATATCTTGAGAGATCTCATCAGGATTTAACTTCTGTTGCCTGAGGCTAATTGGTTCGTGCCACTGTACCTTACCATTGGGATACTTCAGGCCTATGGTCCAGCTTCCTATGATTTTCTGCACAGTCACATGTATTAGTCAATCTTATGATTCTATAACACAATGCCTGAGATAATCAACTTTAAAGAGAAAAAGTTTATTTTGACTCATGGTTTCAGACATTTCAGTCCATGGTCACTTGGCCACAATGCCATCAGGCTTGTGGTGGTACCATAGTACATCCTGGCGGGAGCATGTGGTGGAGGACCTGTCACCTCATGGAAGCTAGATCAACAGAGAGAGAAAAAGATAGGAAAAGGTTGATGTCCCGATATCTAGCATTTCCACTGGCCTCCACTCAACCTCACACATGCTAAGAAAGTGTTTTACTACTGAGATATAAACCTAGCCCCATACTGTATCTTAACATTATTATGCAGTTTCTCTAAAAGTACCCTTTTCCTTGGTCTTGATTTCCTATCCAAACGCACTTACAAGTTGTACTTGCATGTTTGTCTACAGTTGCGTGCTGGTTGCCAATGTCACTATATGGTAAACCTATATTAATTAATCTCATGATTACTTCTGAACCCTGTGATTTTTAAGTCAGCTTAAAAAGGTACCGTGCACATATTTATCCACTGAGAAAATGGTAAGTTCAGACACTGTAGAAATAAGTATCCTAAGTGATATTCTTCCACAACCTCATCCAGAAGTCCCTATTAATGTAATATAAGTCCGCTCCATTTGTTCTATGGATCTACTAACTTGATTAGGACAAACAGACTTTAAAAACACACAGGTTTATTTTTCTCTCACAATGAATGCTAAGGCGAGAAAAATTTACATACTATATTATCCAAATTATCTGAGGTGAAATCATGCATAGAGACTGTAAAAAGATCAGTGGTTGCCAGGAGTTTGGGGAAAGAAGGGAGGGAGGGGAAAATTGGCATGGATTTTTAGGGCAGTGAAACTACTGTGTGACCTTGTAATGGTGCACATCTGTCATTTTACACTTGTCAAAACCCATTGAATGTACAATACAGGTTGCACCCTAATGTAAATAGCAGACTTTAGTTAATAATCGTGTACAATAATCGTCATCAGCACTGGCTTGTGGTTATCACAATTGTACCACACCAGTGCAAGGTATTAATACTAGAGGAACCCATGAGGAGGCTAGATAGTTTACGGGAAGTCTGTATTTTCTATAAAGCTAAAACCGATCAAGAAAATAAAGTCTCTCTTTTTTTTTTTGTACCAGGGATCGAACTCAGGACCTTGAGCTTGTGAAGCAGGTGGCAGAAACACTGAGCTAAATCCTCAGTCCCTAGTCTTTTTTTTTTTTAAATGCTAAGGTGAGAAGTCTAAGACATTAGGGAAATTCTGTTCCTTACCATCATTCAAGGGTCCAACTTCCTTCCAAGTGATTGTGCTGCTATCCTCAGGAAACTGTCATAGTCTCCAGGGTCAGAAATGTGTCACCGTGGAGTCCAGGTTCTGGGTGCAGGGAAGAGGGACGAGAAAATGGGGGGGGGGTACGTGTATCTGCTGCCCATGGATGGAGACCCACACACTGCCCCAAGCGATATTCTATTTTAAGAATTTGATCATTTGACCTAACTGCAAGGAAGGCTGGGGAAGGTCTACATAGAGGCCCAAGAAAAAAGAACAGATTATGGTGAGTGACCAGGCATGCACACACACGCTCATGATATATATACATGCTCTTATGTGTGTGTGTATATATATATATATGCTCTCATGTATTCTTATGTATACATTATGTGCTCTTATGTATTCGCACTTTGTATAGAAGTATACATTGAAATTATTTTCATTTACAAAAAGAAAATAATATCATGGAAATATGTAAAATATTTTTTTTCAGATTTGCAATTCATTTTGGACATATTTCCATGCCTCAGAGCTACCTAATTTTTTATGACAACTAGAGATGATTCTATTTGCTGATTTGCTTAAGGTATTAATGATATCTACTCCTGAATGTGAACTTTTGTGTTGCTTCACACTTCTGTGTTTCTCATCTCCGGATTGGCCCAGGTCCTTTCATTGTATGTTCTTGCCCAGGATACATGGCTCATGCCTGACATCTCAGCACTCAGAAGGCTGAGGCAGGAGGATGACAAGTTGGAGACCAGCCTAGGCTACATAGCAAGTTCAGGGTCACCCTGGATCACACAGTAAGACCTTGTCTCAACCTCCCCAAAAAGACAACTAACATTGCGTAGGCTGCGTCTCCTTGTTAAAATTAAGTAATATGTAGTGAAATAATCTGAACAATTTTCATTGGTTTCACTTATGACTTTTAATTAAATGTCTAATGAAGCCATGGTTTTGTGATTTACCATTTGCTGTTATGGTCCCTCTGGGACACAGATGAGATGAGAGTGTGACATCATGCTAGGACTGCACCTATCTTGGTTACCAATGCGTTCCCAGAACCCAGACCTGAACCCCCACCTAGGAGAGACTCAAATTAGCTGAATGTGGAATGTATGAACAACAAGGTATTTCAGGGATAATTTGTAAAGCAGAATGATTTCATCAAATTCATGAAAAGCCCTACCTTTTGCACGTTTCAAAAAAAGTGTGAATTTTTTCAACAAAAAAGTATAAAATCAAAGACGGCAGTTAGTTTAAAACTCAGTACATCTCTTCAATTTTGAGGAGATAAGACATTTTTTCACTTGTTTTATTTTTTTGTATTTTAAATAACACATGTTTGTGATACATAATGATAACATTCACTGTGGGAAGTTGGTACATGTACACAACACATCTTAATTCTTTTTACGTCCCCTTCCCCTCCCAAGAAATGTTATCTTCGTTTTGAAAGTTGAAAAATACAAAACAGTGCCTCCTTTAAAGGAAAGATTTAGATCTACTTAGGCTTTCCTTTGTAAAATTTTCAGCGATCATTTGATCTACAATATAGTCCAAATATGTATCATCATGTGTATATGGTATACTACTGCAATTGCAGTTAGTCTATTTTTCCTCAAAAAATCAAGATCAAGGGCAGGCCATGTAGCTCAGTGGTACAGTGCCTACTTAGCATGAGCAAGACCCTAAGTTCAGTGCATCACACACATACACACATACACACACACCCCAAATGAAAAAACCCTAGATGATATACTAAATGTTGAAAACTGTTTTTTGGGCATATAACGTAATACAAAAAAGGCAGATTTGTAGGCCTTTGCTCAAGGATTTCATACTCAGTGTACTCGGAGAACTAGCCTCAAATCAAGAAAACAAACACAATGAGCCCACTGAAGAAATTTTCATTTATACCGATATTTCACTCAATTGTGTCACCACATTGACCACTGTTAGTAATAAGAACAATATACGTTGAGGAGGTTTTAGTGCTGAGGATGGGACTCGGGGCCTGGAACATGCTCTGCACATGCTCTACCCCGAGAGGCACCTGCAGCCCTAATGTACACTTAGTATGAATACACTTATGCCACATTTGTGCGTACCTGGGAGTGCTATTGCAAAGGGATCCATTCCAGAGCTTTCGTCCTAAATTCCTTCCCCATCAGATCATGCAATCTCAGGACAGGTCAGCAGAGATCCGTAGAGCGTCCTTCGCGTCATGGTAGCTAAAATTAAAGTCACTGATTACCCTGCGCATTCCTGGAGGTCTCCAGAGGGCGGGTCATGGAAACAGCTGAGGACTCCGTGTAACAACCCCCGGTGATTCGGCCGAGGTCTATTATTAGAGTAAGCCCGGTGTGCTAGCTGTGCAAGGAGGCTATTAGATCATGCCCTTGGATGAGGAAGGGGAACGGAAAGGGAATGTGAGTCGCTGACACTCCCTCCCTGTCCAAACTGTACTCGTCACAGTCCAAATGTAGGGTCAGACGGCCTGGCCAGCGCTCGGAGGCGTGGACTCCGTGCGTCTGCTGCCGGCCGAGCTTCTGTGAGGGAACTCAGCTCCCTGCTCTCTCTAAAGTGCAAGCGGAAGAAAGGAAGAAACGCCCACGACTCCAAGGAAAGTCCCGAGGCCTCAGTAAACCCTCGCACCTCTTTTCCTCAGAGCTTCTGCCCCATTATTTCACTCTGACTTCCAACGTGATTGCTGTATTGTTGAGATTTTTAAGCACCAGGAAGGACACGGTAGTTTTCCGATTTGGTCTGGGTGATAATTAATATCTTACCTTTCAAGGCCCTCGTTCGGAGACAAGCAACTGCCAGCAGTGTGGAGGGGATCCCAGCAGACGCCAGCGAGAGCACAGAGCAGAGCAAATCAACGGCGGTGCAGTCGAAGTAGGATCCGTCTTCGCCCCAGTACCCAGCACAGGGCTCCTAAGTCCCCGGTAATTTTCTTAGCGACAACAGTGGTAGAAGCATCTTGTGCCATGATGTTTGCTCTCGTACAAAGTTGGTGAAACCCTCAGAATTTCCTGATGACAGCAGTGTCTGTTTCCATTCGTTTAGACCAGGGGTGCTAAAGGGGTGATTTAGGGCGGGCCCCCACGTACCAGCAGAGAGACCATGTGGCTACGGCATTAGAGGGCCAGGACCTCCATGTTCATACACAACCTCCAGGAAAGGGGCGAGGGGACAGCACCATTCCAGCGCTTGGGGAGGCTGACGCAAGAAGGTCACCAGTTTGAGACCAGCCTGGGCAATTCAGCAAGGCTCTGCCTCAAAAGGAAATACATTTTAAAAGGGCAGCTGGGGATACAGCTCAGCATGAAGGTCCTGGGTTCAATCCCCAGTACCACCAAAAAACACGAGAGGAAAGAGTGAGGAGAAAGAGAAAGGAGGGAAGAAAGAGCCTCCACAGACACGCGGGACAGTGCAGGCTGACACGCTTCCCGCGTGAACGTGTGGCAGCGCCAGGTGGCAGGGAGAGAAGGCCAGGAAGGCCTGGGTCTCCTGCGTGCCTGGGCCTCGCCATCTGTTCATCTTGTCACCCAGAAGGTAAAACAGATCTTAAAACTTAGGGCTTCTCTCTTCGGAGATAAGCTGCTTCTCCAACTTCCGCTGCTGACGGCATAAGCCTTCCTCCTCTCTCCTCAGCTCAGGTGAGCAGTGGAAGAGCAGTGCCCTGCCCGGAAGTAGCCCATGGGCCTGAGAGGAAGCGCGGCCTGGGGTCAGGCTCTGTTTCCACGAGGAAGAGGGCCGTGATGGCAAAGGGATGTGCTTGTCTGGCGTCTCACTGCGTTTCTCCTTTCTCTTCCTCAGTATGAAAGCCCTTGCCCACCTGAGCGAGGTGACGCAGAGGTCAGAGGAGGGCCCTCCAGCTCGTTCAGAACCTGCTCTCAATAAACCCTTTCCTTTTCACAAAGCAGATGGCCGCCCGTTTTTCTGGGAGTGGCCAGTCGGTAACAATGTGGATGTTCATCTGGGTCTTCCCGACAAAACAGTAAACATGCACAGAAACCTTCTGTCTTGCTTTGAGGGTGTGAGTAGAAAGGAAAAGCTTGGTTTTCCTTCATCAACAGCAACAAAAAGAACTTTGAAAATGAAAGTCATAGTCCTCGCCGGAAATGGCGGCATGTACTCATCATTCCAGCACTTGGGAGGCTCTGGCAGGAGGATCACAAGTTAGAGACCAACCTGACTAATTTAGCAGGACCCTATCTCCAAATAAAAAATAAAAAAGGGCTGCGAATGTAGCTCAGTGCAAAGGCCCTGGGTTCAACCAACAATGCTGGAAAGAAAAAGTCATAGTCCTAAATGTACCAGGAATTACAAACTTTACTTCATCATCATTCGAAATCCCTGTGAAGGAGAGACATTGTCAAAGGTGGAAAGAAACAATAAAAGTTGGAAGCATAGCACTTAAAGGAAGTAACCTTCTTGTGTAGTAGCATTCTTGCATACTTTTCTCATGTTATTCTTGTGATGAGATGATGAATTAGTGGCTATTATGAGGATGCTTGCTGAGTGACCCCCTGTCACTTGTGCCCTGATGGAAACTATAGAAGCACCAAGTTCAGGTCTGTTGAACTCTAACAGTTGTTCTCTTAAATAGCAAGTTCTACAAATTGACTACATATTGGTTCAGCTCAATTACCCTACAATCTTTGGCCTACAATGTGAAATCTCATATAAAAACAGGTCAAAGCCCAAAGTCCTGCCTTTACAAGAAACTTGCAAGGACTCACTGTTAGGTGCAGGCACTGGGCCCCTGTGCTTCCTGTGTCTTCTCACTGAATCCTGCCACAACCAGTTTCTACATGCAACTTGGTGAGGTGCAGAGTTGGAGGTCAGAGCCACACATGTGGGAAGGTAGGGTTTGAACCTGGGTCTGTTGGTCTAGCTCCAGACCATGCGGCTTCCCCAGATGGATTTGTATACAGATGAAGTTCAGCAGAAAAGTAGCACTCTAGTAGTTGTCTTCGTCTGTTTTCTGGTGCTATAACCGAGTGCTCTAGGCTGGGTAATTTATAAAGTATAAGGGCTTATTTGCCTTGTGGTTCATGGAGCTGGGAGGTCCAAAGTTGGATGACTGCTTCCTTCTTACTGAGAGGGACCCTGCAGCGTTCCAAGGTGGCACAGGGCATCGCAGGGTGCAACAGCAGATGTGCTAACTTGCATCTCTTGACCACTTCTTTTTGGTACAGGGATCAAACTCGGGACCATCCCCATTCCTAACTTGCCTCTCTTCTCCTCTTCTTAGAAAGCCACTAACACCATCCTGAGGCCCCACCCTCATGACTTCACCTAACCCCAATTACTCCTCAAAGGCTCCACCACCAAATAACATTAGCTGATGACTTTGGAGATTAAGCCTCAACATAACTGTAATGGAACATTCAGGCCCCAGCACTAGTTTCTGCTCCTGCATTGTAAGTATAATGTCTAAGTATCTTGGAGGCACCTGGTTTTTTCAGATAAGTGCCCAGGTACCCTGCTAACTGTGGGCTCAGGGCACGGGTACAAATGGAAGCCCGAATGCATATGACTAAACTCTGGAATATAAACCACGTCACCTCCTCATTACCTAGACAACGGTTGATCTTTCACCCAGATGGGCGTATCTCTATGAAGATCTGGGAGATCAGATTTCCATCTGCAGATCTTCACCTCCTGAGCTTTACAAGCCATGGGGGGGCCTCGCAGCACACGCTTGCCCCCTCTTCCCTCAGCAGGAAGGATCTCATGCTGGGCCTCCAGTCTATCAGTGTCTGTCAGTCTGCCGTGCATCACCAGCCAAGGTCCTGCCCTCGAGCGGAAGCACCCAAGGAAGGGGCTGGGGCAACTCTGTCAGTCAGCTTGAGGCCATTTGGTCAGGAGAAGGTGGGGCTCAGTGGAACTTTGCAGCATGGCCTAGAGCGGGGTGGGCTTGGGTAGGTGCCCACTCAGAGGCTGCCACCGGAGGGAAATCCAAGCCATGTCCCCCCGTGGGGCCTGGGGCAGCAGGTACTGCCTGTAGCCTCAAAGCCAAATTCAACGACGTATCCCTCAAGCATCCAGCACGCCTTTTTAAAACGAATTCCTGTCTTTTAACATTGTCTAAGTTGAACTTAAGTCCAATGCTTAAATCCTAGCAATAATTTTTGCATATTTCTTTTCCCTTCACAGTCTTCTACCACTTCACACTGCTACAAAGCCCCACGAGCCACATTCTCCTCCAAAAGAAAGAAAACGCTCAGCTCCATTCCTCTGGCTTCCCTTCCTCCCTTTCTTTGCCTTACTTTCCTTTGTTCTCCTAGCTTTTTATTATATGAACCCACTTAGCTTTCCTTACAAAAAATTCCTTCCTGCTTCCAGCTCTGGCTGCGCTCAGTTGAAGACTTTGAGGATATTAATTAGGGCTGAGGGCGGAGGAGGTGTCAGGAGAAAGAGATTGGGCAAAGAGTGTATTTCTGGGGTGGGAAGCTGGATGAGCTAGGATGTTGATGTAGAAAGATCAACTTTCTTGGCTAGAATCTAAAAAGATATTTGAAAATAAGACTCAGGCAGGCTCCAAAATGTTTTAAATATATTTTTTCTTTGGGGAAAGAAAGTGTACACTGAAAATCTTATTTATAAAATTAAAATTCATGGAAGTCATTTATATATGATAACTTTCCAGAAATATGTTTGCTTGCTTTTACTGCTGTGTTTGATTTCTTGCCTGCTCTGCTTTTTTATCTTTGTTTTGTTTTTCAAATGACAACAACACAAAAATCATTCTCAAAAGCCAAATGTATTTCTAACACTCCAGGATGTTCAGGTTGGGCAGCCCTAAGTATATATTACAACACTGAGAAAGAAGTACTAACAGAAACTTCAGTTTGTCTTAAGTTCAAAAGAGTAGCAGTTTTTCTTGTGAATTTTGAACATTCTTCTAAATTTAAAAATAACTACCAGATTGATTGCATCGGCACTTAGCTTACCTGAATGTTAACATTTTAAATAAAAATACCATTTTCCTTGAGATATATGCTTTCAAAGCTTGGTGGATGAATAAGTGAGCTTGCTGAATTACATTTCTCTACCCAGGGAACAACTGTGGAATTTCATTTTGAATGCTATTAAGCAGATTGATCAATAGGAGTATGATTGATAGATAAAATTTTAAGAATATATTGCCTCCATAAAATAAGGTCTACTTGTCTTCTTTGAAAGTTTTAATCTGTGTTTTGAGGGAAAATTCATGTATCTGTTGTAGGTTTCTTATGAAAGTGCTAAGAGGGGACGTCTGACTCTGTAAAATGAAGCCAAAGGCAACATTTTTCGGTAAGTGTAAGAACAAAGCGCCTTAGTGCAGGCTCATCGAGATGGCACTGCTCTTGTGGGCTGTTTGGCTAATTCTAGAGTGAGCGGTAATATACATTTCCATCAGCAATTTTGGGTCTGTAATGTTGCAATAACTAGACCTTCAGATGTGAATGCACCGGGATTCTCATGTGAATCATCCGTACACTTCCTTCAAAGAGTGGTCTCTGCAGTTTTTGAATAGCTTCTCTACTAAAGGTGACACTCAGTGGGTGGCTGAGTTT